AAGGGCATTTAAAGCAAGCTTCTAAAGCAAAGAAGTATTAAAATTGGCCTTCTCTCATTGAGGCTGTTCCTTACTACTGTAGTTTATTATTTATGTGTGTGCTAAAAGCAAGACTCTACAAGGACTCGGGAGACCATGAGAAGTGGAGAAATCATGATGATATAAATTTTGAGCTGCTCAAAAAAAAGTTACAATCTAAATGTTAGGGGGGTTGATAATGACAGTGAGGTTGTTATTTAATGACTCTCTGATCCTCCACATGCAGAAGCATGCTTAAGACCCTGTCGAGTCTGATTTGACAGTGATCACAGCAGAAACCAGACTGGGTGAATGGCAGGATCAGGTGTTAGAGAATGGAAATGAATGAGTTTATGTACTTTTTTCCTTTAGCCCAGACAGTTTTGAGGATTAGCAAATTTCTGTCTGTAAAACGTGTTGGGGTCCTTGGATAGCAGATACTAAATAATTATGACATAGAAGTATTGGTTTTAATGGAAGCTTAAAATGATCTACAGTAACACCAGGGAATGCTCCACATTTGGATGTACTTTGGATTCCTCTCAACCATTTTATTTACTTTGTGCGCAGAACAATCCCCAAGCCTGTCTGGAAAATGAGAACCAGAGCCTGCAAACCATTTTATAAACCCCATCCTGTCCTTTAGGTGTGTCTTCTCAGTCTTTGCATTACTAACCCAGCACAGACAAAGGCGGATCCTTCTGCAAATAGCACTTTCCTTACCACAAATAAAGAAAGGAAGGGGGGGGGCGGAGAAGAAAGAAAGGGAACAAGAGAGGGAGGAAGAAAGGGAGATCGGCAATTCACCTATCTTTATCTCAACTGTGTGAAAAAGGATAGTATGCTTTCTTCTCCTGGGCAAAAAGTTAAATGGTAGGTAGGTAGGTTGGTAGATTGGTCAAGCAAATGATAGATGGATAGTTACTAAAATGTTTCTGAAATATTTAATCAGCCAATATCTGTTTTTGATAAAGACCATCCAGCAGCTCATTTGGCTGCTCTTTGTTTAATAATCAACTCTTTTCCTTGTAGTAACCAGTTACGTCAACCCTGTGAGCAGACCACATGGTCAAATACATATCCATATAGTCTCATCCACGGTCATCTGATTACGAAGAATTTTAACCTTCAGTTAATAGGGAGGAAAAAGTCTAATACATTTATAGCCCTCTTGCCTCAGCCAAATAAGAGAAACCTACTTCTGTTTCAAGGAACTGATCTTATCCCCTCCTGTGTAAGATCCTGTTTAACAGATTACCTCACCAGGCTCCTAACAAAAGCAGCCTGCCTGGCACCTTCTCAGGACAGCTTTATTCTTGGCTTGAAACCGTTCCTGCCGTGACCATTGTCCAGTCAGACTTGACAGAGCCTCGAGTATGCTTCCATGGAGGAATCAGGCAGGCTTTCTCCACGTCTGGGCCAATGCCGGCGCTGAAGGGCGACCTTGGCATCTGCTGAAGCCAGCACTGCAGTTAGCCATTGTCAAGAGCTGTAGAGCTTTTAGGGTTCAAATTGTTACCTTTTCACTAGATTGATAGCAAACTATCCTAAGGAGATATTTTTTTCACATATGGAATTAACTGCATCCTTAGAAAGCATTTGTTATCAAGCATTTCTAATGTATTGGTCAATTTCTCTCACAATTCTTTTGTATCATTTTGGTATTAATAAAAAAAAAAAATCTTAAAACCAAGTCTGGAATAATGTCCCAGCCTCTGCCCAAGACCCCACTCTGGCCCTCCTCTGACCGTACCCCTCCCATGAAGTGAAGAGTCTATGGGGCCAAGGGGGTATGCCCAGTTAGAGCCAATTTTTCAATCATGCTCCTGGTTTCTGGAATACCCCAGGAAACCTCAGATGAGGCCAAGGCTGCTTCCAGGGCCTACGTGGGCCCCTTTCGTAGGTCCATCTTCTTAGGGCAGACTGGCCAATGGTGTGAACACCCAGGTCTGAGGTATGGCTGCGGGGCGACCGTATGGAGGGCTATGATGGCGTGCGGCTGCAAGAGAGCTGGGTTCGCACACACGTGCAGAGGAGGCACCTCAGGGAACGGGACAGAGCCAACTACAGAAAGAGAAGGGCCTGGGCTGCAAGCCAGGGGCCAGTGCAGCCCACAGCACCCTGTTCTGACACAGAACGTAAGGACTCCTTTCTCTCCAGGTCATTATAATCTATATTTATTGATCAAAGAAGGAGAATAGAATCGATCTTATTTAACAATTTGTAGACTGATTTATAGATTTTAAATATTTAGACATCTTACATGGGCCTTCATTTGTACACTTGTCCCTTCCAATTATACACTTATCTCTGTCCATTCCCATTTTTTCTGCCTTTTTTAGTCTCAGAAAAAGGAGTGTCCTCCCTCCTTCTCCAAACTAGAGCCTCTGACTGTGACCCTGATCTCCTTCCCCGCTGCATCCTCTCTGCCACCTGCAAAATGCAGAGACACCTCTCCCCGAAAGCCCCCTCTAGATGCTGTTCCATTTTTCTTTCTTATCCCACAAACTTTTCACTAATCTTGTCGCCATAGAGGTCGCTGTTGATTCTGAGGCCCAGAGGTCACTAGACACCATTCTCTGGGATGGCTGTGGTTAGTGTAATTCAGCACAGTTGCAAACCACCCCCTGAGACCCTACACACAGACTCCCCACAGCTGTCCCCTTACCCAGCTTCGCCAAGTGCTGTCTCTCCTGTCTTCTCCACTCAGCTGTGTGTCCTTCTTCCACCCTCTGAGGAGGATACTCCCCAGGTTTCAGCCGAAGGGGTCCTCTGCTCTTCTCTATGCATTTGCCCTTGGCAGACATGTTTCCCTCCTGGGGAGGACAGCCACATCTCTGACTCCATGAAATAAATTTCCACTCTGATGCCTCCCCAAATGCACAATTTCAGCATGTTCCACAATGAACCCAACTTGCCTTCTGACTCCCTCTTTTTTGCATAAAAATTATTTCAACGGGAATTTTTCTACTTCTTTTCATTTTAAGTACAATGGTTTCAGTTACAGTATGGGGCTTTTTGTCAGCTAGCTTGGGCTAACCACCATTTATCACATGGTGGGGAAAAATGCATTCCAGCTTCCAAACAGCTTATTTGTAAAAGAATGTAGCCCACATGGGAAAGGCAAGCTTCTTACTGCCCCAGCATGATTGCATCTGTGCAATAAACACACCAGGCACACTCACAGATACTAAAATTCAAAGATGAATAAGATACGGCCTCAGAGAACTCAAGAAGGAACTTAAAAAGGAATAGACATGAAAAGAAATTACTGCATTCCCCTACAGCACCTAGAGTCATGTTTTGCACATGGTAGGTGTTCAAAAGACAGCTGTTGATGGGCGGTCAGTTGGTGAATAGAAAGCAGTGAATCTTAAGCATTTTGTCCCTCAGTGGTATTCCCAATACTCCCGAAAATCTGTTGCCCACACTCAGTTTTCTTTGCAGATGCCCCTGTGGCCCAGATACCCTGAAGTCTATTCTAACTTTCACATCAGCATCATGAAAATTCTTAGAGGGAGATGGGAGGGCAGAAGGGAATTTGGGAGCAAACCCAACAGTTAAGAACCACCTTGCTCCAGTTATACTTGCTTCAAGGTCCCAAACTTCTTTCCAGATTCCATAAAAATGCTGCACCCCACTCTCAGCTCTAGCCTTTTCTCATGTGCATTGTGAGACAGAGAATTGAAAAGGTATTTCCTAAATTCAAAAAATATATGTCATACACTAAAGTATAAAAGCAGATTATAAAACCCACATGGTGAACGTTATCCATTTCAGTTGAAAGTTCTGTTGATGTAGGGGTGTGTGTGTGTGTGTGTGAATGTACAACCTCTTAGACATACACTGAAAGGAAATAAAAGCCTCAAAACTTATACAACAAAATATTAACAGATGTTATCTTTGAATAATGGGATCATGAATAATTTTTACTTTCTTTTTTGTGCTTTTCTGTAATTTCTGTGGTGAATAGGTTTCACTTTTGCATTCAGGAAAAAAAGTCTATGTGTTTTCTATTGCTGTGTGACACATTACTGCAAACAGAGCATCTGAAAGCAATACCCATTTATTAGGTCCTGGATCTGGAGTTTGGGAGTCTGGGAAGGCTCAGCTGGGTTCTCTGCTCAGGATCTCATAAGGCTGGAATCAGAATGTCAGTCAGACTGGGCTTCCTACTTAGAGGCTCTGCTGTCAAGCCCATTTGGATGTTGGCAGAGTTCAGTTCCTTGGTATTGTAGGATTGAGGTCCCTGTTTCCTTGCTGGCTATCAGCCAGGGTCATTCCTGGATGCCACTCTCAGAGCCTCACCCCATCATCCCCCCCCATCTCAGCCACAGATAATTCTCACATGTCACATCCCCCCATACTTCAAGTCTCTCTGTCTTTCCCTTCTGCTACCAGCCGGAAAAACTCTGCTTTTTAGGGCTTATATAATTAAATTAGGCCCACCCAGATAATCTCCCTTTTTGATGAACTCAAAGTCGATTGATTAGCAGCCTAAATTACATCTGCAAAACCTCCTTTGCCACATACCTTAAATAATCACAAGCAACATCCTATCATATTCACAGGTCCTGCCCACACTTAAGGGGAGAGGCTTATGCAGGCTGTGTATACCGGGGGGCAGGAATCTTGGGGGCCACTTTGGAATTCTGACTACCACTGTTTGTGTGTGTGTGTGTGTGTGTGTGTGTGATTTATTTGAACTCTCCCCTGAGAGTTAAGAATGAAATTCTTGGTAGCCCCCCGAAGTCCTTTCTACCTCCTGCTGGGGCAGAAATCACATAAGAGGATGGACCAGAAGTGATGGAGCCTGGAGTTTGCCTTTGTTGATAAACACACATCTGTCTTTCTGTACTTCTCCATGGCATTCCGCTGAGTACGTCTGCATAGTAGCAGCCCAAAAAGTTGGAGGCTTATAGGTCTGATGACAGTTCTTTAGTGGACAGAGGCTTCTAACTCTCTGATTCTCTCGTCTGTAGTATGACATCGTTGGACACTCTGGAGATGGCTACAGCATTGGTCTAGTTCCACTTAACAAAATCCCCAAGGACAATAAGCAAAGACTAGAAATTCTAAAGGTAAATACAATAAATCACCTCTCTATTGTGAAAACTTCAACCAGATGATGTAAAGTATCTTCTGATCACTGAAAAGATTCACTGAAGCAGCAGGAGTTACAGGAAAGAAAAAGACTCTGTTTTACAGGCATTCAAGCATTAAACTGGGAAAACGTTTTACTCATCATGCCTAAAATCCTTTTCTCCACTCTACAAATTTTAAAGATTTTTTTTTATTTATTTATATTTTGACAGAGAGAGAGACAGTGACAGAGGGAACACAAGCAGGGGGAGTGGGAGAGGGAGAAGCAGGCTTCCCATGGAGCAGGGAGCCCGATGCAGGGCTTGATCCCAGGACCTTGGGATCATGACCTGAGCCGAAGGCAGATGCTTAACAACTGAGCCACCCAGGTGCCCTCTACTCTACAAATTTTAAACTTTGTTCCCTATGTATTTTCAGAGTACTCAGGATTATATCCGGATTCTACAGCCTGGGTGCCCTCCTGTATCCTATACAGTTCTTCTTAGCCCCTACACATTTCAGTAAAAGAAAAAGAATGACCCCTTTTAGAGTACTCTCCAACCCCAATTTTATGTCCTTAGTATTTTCTAATGATAAATTCAATTTCACATACTTAGATCTACAGTAGAAACACACACACACCATGAGCTTAAAGTAAATTTCCTCCATAGCTGTTGTTGTAAGTACAGTGTTTAGTGTTACAACTTTATTAGAAATTCAGCCCATTCCTTACTTTTCTCCTGTGTGTGTATATTCACAGGTCTTGTCCACATTTAAGGGGAAAGGATTATGCAGTCTGTGTATACCAGGGAGCAGGAATCTTAGAGACCACCTTGGAATTCTGCCTACCACTCTGTGTGTGTGTGTGTGTGTGTGTGTGTGTGTGTGTGTGTGTGTGAGATGCCAAGTTTTATGTTTTCTTAGATTTTCTCACTTTAAATGGCAGCTCGAGTTTCAAAAGTCAGTGCAGCTGGGAGAGTTTGGGAACATTTCCTGTTTCTAACAAAAGTCTTAACCACATACAAATATCACTGTGTACTGTTGTCACTCTAAGGTGCAAATTAAATAGAACTCACGTACAGATTTCCTATTCAAGTGTAAGGATTGGTATTTGTGCATTCTCACGGTCAGTAGAAATATCATGATGTTTGTTTACAACGTTTCTCACCCGCGTCTTCTGTGCAACATCTCTGCTTCCCAGACAATGCATGCCCATGCTCAGTTCTGCATGAGTGGGGACCACACGTTAGAGGGAACGGAACACGCCATCAAGGAGATTGTCAAAGAAGAAGCTGACGAGTACTTTGTCATCGTCTTAAGTGATGCAAACCTGTCACGATATGGAATACATCCTGCCAAGTTTGCCCAAATCCTGACAAGTAACCCTCAAGTGAATGCTTTTGCCATTTTCATTGGATCTTTAGGTGATCAAGCAACCAGGTAAGTGTCACCTCAGGATACAGCAAAGGACAACTATAGAGATGCTTGAGTGCCTGCCTAACACATGCCATTTCATGGAATTGGCTCCTGAGGGGCAGTGGGGAGAAGAAAGAAGAGTAGCCAACAGAGCTGCCACCCTCAAGGAGCTGGTATGATAGTCTGGTTGAGAGGATATAATCCCCTAGTTTATGTTTGGATGAGCAATAATAGTTTTAAATTAATTATTTTTCATCTTATATTTAATCCAACAATAGAATAATTAACAAATTGATTTGTCCACTAATAAATTAGGCAGTATTTTATATATTTTGCACTTAACATCAAGGTCTCAAGCTCAGTTCTAATCAGTTCAATTACTTTGAATACGATTTCATGTTCAAATCGTATTCAAAGTAGCAAACATCAAAGTAGCAAACTTTTCCTAGTATAAGAGATTGTGTATATGTATGTGTGTGTCTATAAAATGTGTACATAAATAATATATAAAATGTGTATATGTATGTATAGTGTATATCTGTATACAGACAGAGAGAGACATGGCACACAGGGATAATATATGGATATCTATCTATCTATCTTAGATATCCCCCCTTATATGTGTATATATCCCTTCTCACTGGGGAGACAGGCAGGTGAAGCATTGGGAGACAATGTAAGACAGAATATACAGTAAGATGCTACACTGAACATGTTGAATAATCAGTAGAGAAGTTTATGGTAAGATAACAAATACCATTGTGGATGAACTAAAAGGAGAGATCTGGATTTGATTTCTCAAACACACTAACATTTATCTTTTTGAGTTATAAACAGAAAGAACTTGGGATTTTTCTCTGCTTGAAATATTTGTATGAAGCAGAAAACACAAATGAAAGTATATCTCCCCTACCCCCGAAAAATAACATTCCTGCCCAGAACACATACCTTTTTGCCATTCCTGTCTTTTACTTGTCTGTCACACTCTGAAATACAGAGTCCTGTATAGACTAGGAAATGTTTTAGCCTCCAGAGAGCTGGCATCTTTTTCTATTCCCTTCGCCTTGCTGCAGGATTGCAGAGTAAGGTTAAGAACTGCCTTAGGGGGTGCCTGGCTGGCTCAGTCAGTTAAGCGTCTGCCTTCGGCTCAGGTCATGATCCCAGGGTCCTGGGATCGAGCCCCGCATCGAGCCCCGCATCGGGCTCCCTGCTCAGCGGGAAGCCTGCTTCTCCCTCTCCCACTCCCCCTGCTTGTGTTTCCTCTCTAGCTGTCTCTCTCTGTCAAATAAATAAATAAAATCTTAAAAAAAAAAAACAACTGCCTTTAGTATCATGTCGTTACAGTCACTTCATTACAACTGACTGCATTTTTCTCAGTTTTATATTTTTGCCTCTTCTAGAACTTCCATGCCCTCAAATGCAAACCATGCTTTTTTCTACCCAGATTTCCTTCAGGACCAGCCCAATATTAAGCAGACAGCAAGTTCAACAAATACTGGTTGAGCTGAAATAGCTATTTTGTCTTTCTAGTGAACAGATCCTGTTTGAATACTTAAGAAAGTACAATAATACCCTTGTGGTTTCCTAGGGAAATGGTCCAACATCCACTGGCAAAAGATATGTTGCAGAATTAGCTGGTCTACCAGGCATGCCAAATGTATGATACTACACAGGATGGTTGACTTTTATTAAATGTCATTCCAAAACCAAACTTTGTTGGCACAGTGAAAGGAGGCGTTCTTTTGGATAGAACTGTGTCTTGTACTTTCATTGCTTTCAAAATGGCCCTTTGTTCCAAATGATAAATGGCCATTTTTAAAAAATTATCCTAAGTCTATATAAGCTTGGTGTCATCAAAGCTGCAACTGGGTAAGTCAGATTGCCCTTCACGTTGTATGACGTGAGGGGAAAAAAAATGAGAGAGAGAGAGGGAAAGAAAGAAAGAACCACCTGCGGTTTGGCCGGGCAACATTTTTCGGGGCCTGCGTTCTAAGGCAGGGAAAGCACTTAGAAGCACAGGGTGAGGCCAACACATTTGCTGGATCCAGGTGAGCTAATCCCAGATTTGTCCCTAGGGCTCTGTTCTGCCAAGGGAATACCGGGAAATGACAGTAATGAAAGGAAGGAAATTTCTTCTTTTCAAATTAACTGATTTTCTCACTGAAAAGACCTTACTTTTGGTTCACTGCTCTCAGTGTGCCTCTCTCTGTTCTGTGGCCCTTCCAAGCCTTTCATTGCCTGCTGACAGCCCATTCCCTTGCAGGCAGGGGCAAGGTATTAGAAAGTAAACACTTCCTTTGGATGCTGTGGTTTTCGGGGGCAGGAGGTAGCCCCCATTTGCAATGGTAATTTTCTTTCCCTTTCCATCCGGGCAGGCTTCAGAGAACTTTACCAGCTGGCCGGTCCTTCGTTGCCATGGATACCAAGGACATCCCCCAGATTTTACAACAGATCTTCACCTCCACCATGCTGTCCACTGTATAGGACGGGCCCTTCTTCACCCTGCTGACCCTGGGACGTGAAATAAGATAGGAATAAAGAGTCCCCCAAAGAAAAGACGACATCTATAAAGTGAACCTGCGCAGTGACTGAAGGATTCTGGCGTTCCTGGCGCTTCCTGGGCTCACTCAGGGATCAGAATTCAGGAAAGCAGCCGGAGGGAGCTTGCACGTGGAAATCTACCACCAGTGATGGGTTCGCAGGGAAGCGAGCTGACCTGCGTTTTATGAAAGGTCAGGGGTCAAGGAAGGCGGTTTGAGAACTGTGGTGCTTGGTTTGTATCCAGAAACCTGAGGGAAAGAGAATTCCTTGCTTTTGCCTTAACGCAACGTCTGGTCACCTGAGGTAACAGAAGTGATTCTGATGCCATGTTCTGTCATTGAGATACAAGCCCGTGTAAACTCACCCAACCTGCTCCTGCCCAATAATTATTTTTATTTTCTCCTCCACCCTTGATCGCCCGGCAAACAATGATTTTTATAGTATTTAACCCACTACAAAGCCTCCTAACAGCAGTATTTTATAAAAGGTTAGATTTTTTTTCAATAATTCCATTTTCTTGGCCAAAGCCAAAAGGAATCAGAAGATCCCTGCATCGCTTCCTTTCCCATTTGACTTTTTAAAAGACTCTTTAAATAATGAGGAGCAAACGTCCTATTTCCATGCTGCCAACGTGGAAGGATAAAGGCTGTCTTGCCTTGAACTTCCTGTGTCGTCTTGTTCCTCCAGTACTTCTCACAAGTTTCACATATTTCGGTGTCCGAAGTGTAATGCTTGAAATAACAAACACTTATGGTTTTACTTAAAGCAAAGTAAAAACAAGGCAGTATGTTTGAATTGAATGGGAACTGGAGATTTCTTGAGCTGTTAAAAAAAAAAAAAACAACTCTTTTTTCAAGATTCATTCTTTTTTCTTTCAAAGTGCACCTTATTCCCACCTACCCTTAGGCTGACCTTTATTTATCAACAGGTCTGATGTCACTTTGTTTAAAATCAAATGCCACAGCCAGAGTCAGGCTCTGTTCAACCACGTAAGAAGCTCCTCTCCACCAGTGATGCAAAGTCAAAATTGCGGGGAGCACCAGTGGATGTGTACTTTCTTGTCACGAGTTGGAGGAATTAGTCTTGTTAATAATATTACCTTACTTGCCCATATAGCCTGAAATTGTACTGATTCATTTCATTTTAATCCATTATAGGAAAGAAAACACCCATTTGTTCCTCCACCCCAACTCCCTATCAACTGTCAAAGAAATAAAGCAATCCGATTCCCAGTGCTGTCCTGTCCAGTGAGTTCACACGGCTCGTCTCGTTTTTCCAGCCAGACGCTTGCTCTGCACTCTGCGTATTGAATCAGCCAGTGATGCAGTTTCAATCCAATAAGTACCTTCAAAACTGTAACCGAATTAGCAATAGTAATAATAATAACAGCAACAACCACTAGCATTTACTGAGTACTTACAACATCCCAGGTATGCGACGTGACTTCAGGCATCGTTCCATTCCACCCTCACAACGATGCATGTAAAACAGGTATCTCTTGCCTCATTTTACAGATAAGTCACTTTCTGAAAACTGGAAAATTGACCATTGTCCTTTTAACATCCTCCTTGACAAATAAGGAAATTGAGGCGTAGGAAAGTTCAAGAAAACAGGCCACACTCACAGTCAGGTGGGGGCCGAGCGGGGCTACGCTGGCCCCCTTCATGGATTATTCTTACGGAAGGCGAGCTCTTGCCGTCTTGGCTCCTTTGTCTTCTTGCAGCCTGACCACGGTTCGGGGAGCCTTCTTCCTCTCCCTGGGACCTCTCCCTGCACACACCCGGGCACTCAGAGGAGCGTGTGGGGACCCAGGACAGGAGCCACTGCGGGAGGGACACCTCTCACGGGCTTTCCTGGGCTCAGCGACAGCTTAACCCCTGGGGGTGCCCCCTCTGCGGGAGGGTCAAAGCCCCCAAATGCTTCGCCCAGAATCCAAGAGTCAGTAACAGAATGGCCTTCTAACAAATCCTGCCTGTGCCCTGACTACCTGAGTGAGCAGAAGCCATTTTTTTTTAACATGGGAAGAATGTTCTCATTAATTCAATTTCCCTTTCCCCACTGGCCAGACGTCCTTGCAATTGTTATTTAAAAAAACACACACACACACACACAAAAACATGTAACTCCTGACTTATTTGTAAAAGGGAAAGATGATGGGGGAGAGGAGCGGAGAGAGGAGAGCTGAGGTTATTTTCACTTCTTGGAATACCTAAGAAGTTTGTGCCTTTATTATTAAATGTACTTAATTATAGGCCACTCCAAACTGTTCCCAGGCCCCCCAGGGCCAAGACATTATAATAAATGCATTGTTTGCCTCAGGGGGGAGTTCCACTGAAAGGCCTCTAAACCAGCTCTTCCCGTAGTGAGCCCGTGTAGTGCTGAGAAGGTTCATTGTGACCCATGAGCACCGGGAGGAATGAAGCCTATGAATGGCCACCGTCTATGTGTTGTGTATCCCCCCCGGGAGTCTTTTGTGTGCCCCAGCAAGATGACCTCATCACACATGGGGCCCCTCCAGCGAGCCCAGCCGCGAGGTGTGGATCTGAGCGGGACTACTTGAGCCTGTCACATGTTTGGAATGAATCATTTAATTCTTTCCTGTGAACTGTCAGAGGAGGAGAAATCCATCAATGCCAGCAGGATTTTCTCTGAACAAACTCGAGGGCTTTGAAAGCCATTTAGAAGTAGCTCTCCATGGACGGCATCATCAGTGTTCCTGAACGGCCAGCTCCAGAGGCTTCAACCCTCCCTCCACCTGGCTCCTTCCCGTGCCTGTCCGCTCAGCCAGAACTAAATTCCTCCGCGAAAGGAGCAGAGAGGTGTGGGGCTGGGGCAACAGGAAGGTGGCCGCCTGTGTGTCCTCTTTCCATTACGGCCCAACAATCGCAGTTATGAGAGAGATTCCACAAGTTCTAAGCCAACATCTCCAGCCTGGACAACTTTTTTTTCTGGAATCGCATCAAAGAATAGTCACCTGTCCGTTGGTATTTAGCAAATTGTACCTTACTTTTTCAGCTTAGGAAATAAAATGTCCACTTTCAAAAAAATTATTCCAATGGTAACATATCTGGCTTTTTTAAATACTTTGATGAAGAGTCTAATTTGCTCCCACTTTCTGGCCAGGGTATTATCATAAAGTTCTGACCATTGCCTTTCCTTTACCTTTCTTAGATTTGCTGCAACGAAAGTACTATAGGTAATGGAAAGGAATTCCAGTGTTCGATCTTGTGGTGGAAGAATTTATAAACTCTAAGTAGAATTACTCAGTAGAAAGAAAGTTCTAGATGCTGCTGTGATGTGTGAACTTGGGCTCGTCACTTCTGGGTCTCAGTTGCTTCATCTATTTAAAATTAATTTAAATTTAAAAAGTTGAACCAAATTATCTCTAACACTACACTTCCTGTTTCTAGATCTCATAAAGCCAATTGACTCTTTGCCTCACACATCTTAGGAGAACCACATCATCTCAGTGTGTTTTTGCCTCCAGAACCCCACAAACAGTACAGAGGATTTGGGCACCTAAACCCATTACCCCGACAATATAGTGTTACTGACAGAATATGCAATTCTAAAAGCTACAAAAACATCATTAGATTTGGACAAGCAGGGTTTTCCCCCATCAGCTGGACAGATACTTCTGTTGGACAGTCATTCACAAGATTTCTGCCCATTGTCTCTTACTTTGCATTTTGCTGCCTTAAAATAAAACTCCCTATCTGCTGATCTGCACAGTGGGATCAAAAAGACCAGGAATTGGAAAACTACTGGGTGCCCGGAGCTGCCCTTAGTGCCGCAAGCCGAACAATGCGCAACTGTGTGTGTGGGGGGGGTTCATTGTTAAATCCTGTAAACAAAAATCTCCTCCAGAGGGGAAAAAATGCTTGCCAAGCAGTCCTCCCCAGTTGAAAATGATCTGACACTCTTTTTTGACTCCGAGCGCCGTCTGGGGCTTGCACCTTCCAACAGAGGCGGTGTCTGTGCTCGCGGCTTTGGAATGCCGAAGTCACATAATCTCAAAATCGAGTGGCGCTTGTGGTATTTGGCCACTCGGAGCAAAGGATAACACTCTTCTAAGGTGGTTTGGATCCAGAGTGTGGCGAGAACGTCCTGTTCAGCTCGAAGAAATCCCATCAGGGGACACGTGAGCTCTAAGGAACATCGGCCCCACGCACGGTCCTCTCCCCCAGGCAGGCGCCAGACTCACCTTGGGGCTCCTCTCTTCTCGGAGGCTTTGTGAAAGTGCTTTCTCTTTCCCTGAAAAAGCAATCCGTGTTGGCCAATCAACTCTGACTCCAGAGATGGTGGGTGTGAGCCCAGAGGAGTTTCAGAGTATCAGGATTTCTTAAAATTCCGTGCAACTCTGAAGCCTTAGAAACAGTAGCGAGAGTTTGACCTGGAAAGGGAAGGGGGAACTGTCAGTCTGAACATCCCGCAGCAGGTTTGTCTCTTTATGCTGGCCAGACTGGGGCAAGCAAATAATGAGCCTGTCAAGAGTACTCTGGGTAATTGGTCTCATGATGCCATACATGAAGCCTTATTAGTTGAAATGAAGAAAAATAAGTATGTTTACTCAGACAGGACATTAAGGTTGGGTTTTTAAGTGCAATATATTTATATTAATAAATACTGATGCTAATTTAACGAGACTGAGCATTTCTTCATTTCAACACTAATTAAGACGTGGTTTTTGTTTGTTCGTTTGTTTGTTTGTTTTATCACTGGGGCTCCAGGAATAGAGTGAGTCTTAACAAAGCTAATGGGTCCTTTTCCTTCTACCAGATATTTTCTGACCCATATAAAATTCAGCCCTGAAAACACTGGCCCAGAACAGAGTATGTGCAGGCCCTGTGGAAAGCAAATGGCAGCCCTGGGGAAGCAGCCTGTTGACCAGCCTTGGTCTTGGCTCCTGAGGCCGGAGTTGGGGGCGGGGAGGGGGCGGCGGAGGGAGCGTCCCACAGAGCCCAGGGCTGGTGAGGAACCCGAGGGTTTCTGCAACATGTCAGGATGCTCAGGTACACACAAAAAATAAAGAGGGCAGATGACAAGGGATACCCGGGAAGGTTCCAGGCTTAGTTAACCAACACATGGTCTAGGAAATATACCTGTTTATTTTGCAGTTGACAAAGAAGGGATTTTTACCTGAAAAGTGTCCTTTGGGGCCTCGGATGTTTTTGAATGACTATTTCCAACGCTGATAGAATATGCATGTCCATACATTGCCGGCTCAAGTACAGAGATCTGCTATTCAATATGCAGTGCCCAAACCAAAGAATCTCTTTCCCTCTCTGACATCTCGGTGGAGACTGGAAGAAATGGGAACGCTCTCTGCAGAGGTGGGAGTTTGTGGCAGTTCCACAAGACGGCCTGAGAGCAGACAGTCACTTGGCTGGAATACAGCTCCACGCAGCTGGCCTGGCTCCTCGCCCCTAACATCTGAGGTCTGTCTTTAGAGTGGCATTTCCCGGAGAGAGGGGCTTCTCTTTTAAAATACAAATAGCCCTGACAGGCTATCCATCACGCTCATCTTGGTTTGAATTCCTTCATTCACACGCTTTCCTCCAGGCCCCAGCTGAGAAGAAGGTTCCAGTGAGGAAGTAGAAGGGGGTGGGGGTGCTTGCAGCTTGGAGCGTCACCCAAGCCGGGGACCGGGCCGGGGACAGAGCATGCGGGCACGAGACGATGGCTCACTGGGGGTGACAGTCTTCCTGGGGCTGCATATGTGGTCTCTCCATCCTCTCGAGGGCACACGGCGCAGGCTTTGTCAGGTGTGGATGGGCGGTGGCTTGCTTCTCTGCAGCCCTGCTTTTTTAGAGACACCCAGATTTCCACTTGCATTTTGCCACCTTTCTGGCGTCTGGCTTGCAAAGTCAGGCGCAGGGCGCACATCAGGGAGTTGATTCCCTAGCAAGGGCAAGGCGCTTGAACATTGGGCACCTGCCCCACAACACTTGGGCCATGTCTCTGGTGAAGCCAACCCATCATTTTTTTTTTTCAGTTTGCCAAGAGAACTTTTACCCTGCACTATGCGCTTTTCCAAAGAGAATTTACACCCCTGAGAGGCCACAACCCTTCTTGGAAGACACTTCCCTCCCCTGCAGAAGCAGGGCTGGGCCACACCCGTGGGACGCAGGCACCGCAAGCCATGGGGAGGTTCCTGAGGAAGGAGCCGTGGAATTTCTGAGTTCCATCCTGGTGAGGACTGGAATAAGATCAGCAGGAGCCTCAAACCCAGAATGTCCCTCCTATACAATGGGAATATTGGGTATACTTCTAGGAAGTTTCTGTAGAAGTCTGTAGAAGCGTCTGTAATTCAGACCTTAGGAAGTAGCTGTTTGTGTAACAGTTTCTAAAAACATTTACATATTATTAGCATTAAAAAAATCAAGGACCTTTGAAAAATGAGTGTGGCTTCTTAAAAAAAGCTCCTTTGTTTCTCTTTGAGACAGTTCTCTTTTTTCCCCTTCCAAAGAGAACCAGTGTTTTTTTTTAATTAAGGTATAATTGACATACAACATTATATGAGTTTCAGGTGTACAACATAATGAATGATTCAATATATGTAGATATTGTGAAATGGTCACCACAATACGGCCAGTTCCCATCTGTCATCGCACATATAAAGAGAACCAGCTTTGCATTTCCTGAGCCTGCTGATGACCCCCTCCCCGGCCGAGTGGTTGGGGTGCAGGGGCAGGCGATGGGAGGCCACTCAGCCTCCAGGGCTTTCCGTCCCTCCAGAACAGACAGAGCCCAGGCTCTCTATTTACAGACATGGCTGCAGTCAAGACTTTGTCCCCTGGTCAGAACCTTTCTTCTCAGGCTTCACCATGGCCTGTCTCGGGTGAGGGACAATGGCCTTTGTTAGGAGTGGCCCCAAGCCATGTGGCCTGCACCCACGGCTTTCCCTGCTGGAGGCTGTTAGCACCAGAACTGTTGTCAAAGTCAAGACTATAGCAGAGTCCATCTGGATGTCTCCCTGGCCTGAACCCCTTCCTCAAATCAGGGGAGAATTCCTGACTCCGTGAAGTATTCAGATAGCCCTTGAAAGAATCGGTCCCTTTAATGGGTCCCTTCTGGGAGGGTGACTGAGGAGTCTTGGAAGGCTAAGCCTGAGATGCCATGTTCTGCCATATGCAGGGAGAACAATAAAAATTGTTATTACTATTACACAAAATAATAATAGCTGTTATCTAGCACCTCCCACGTGCCAGGCACTTCCTAAGCACTTTGCATAAACAAATTCATTGAATCCTTACAACAACTTCATGAATGGGTACTCTTCTTATTCCCATTTTATTTCAAAGGCAAAGACCACAGTCTACCCTAAAAGAGAAAAGAAGAGGCCAACTGGCTGACTGAGGGAGAGAGAAGTGCCTATGGCACCCTGAAAATCAGTGGGACTAGCTATGGGTGCTCAGCACGCTGTCCCGTAATTGTTTCCATATCTACCCTCCTTATGGAAGGGCAGGGATCCAGGCTTGCTTGTCTTTAGCCTGGCCCTGAGAAGGTGCTCGATAAACTGTTGTTGAATGAATAGTTGTGGGATGCAGAGGCTCCCTGGTCCTGGGAGGCAGGACTTACACTGGCTCTTGAGGATAAGCAAGATTCTGTGAGCCAAGAGCACTGGTCAGGGAGTCCTGGGGGAAGGTAGGGGTAAGAGTGGTTTGAGCGAAAGCCTGAATTTGGAATGTTCCGAGGGTAGCTGAAGTGGCAGGCCTGATAGGACTGTTCTCCCCCACTTGGCTGCCACTGACCAGCCAGGAATTTCTAAGTGAGGCCCGAAAAACAGCCTCTCCTCAGAGCCTCCAGGGTGGCCTTCTGGGCTCTCCAGCTGCTAACTCCAGCCCTGACTGGCCAGGGGGAGGTGGGAGGCCAGTGGGCAGTCCAGGCCCTCCTGGAGCCCGGAGTAATGACAGCTCCACAGAGCAAGCCTCATTACATGGAGCGACTTCATGATGTGGCTGTTTTGTTTTGCTTTGCATTTTTTTTTCCTCTTTGAAAATGAGTGGAGAACCTTCTTTTACCCAAGATTACAAGTTGGGTTGGTGATGAAAGGTCTGTGCCATGCAGAAGGAGTCCTCGGGGAGGAGCTTGTACATTTGCAAGCCCTTTTGTTGAAAATGGCTTGCTCTGTGGAAGAGAAAGAAAGGAGAAAGAAAGGAAAGAAAGAAAGAAGAAAGAAGAAAGAAAGAAAGGAAGGAAGGAAGGAAGGAAAAAGAAAAGAAAAGGAAGGAAGGAGGGAGGAAGGGAAGAAGAAAAGAAAAAAAGAAGAAAAGAAGAAAAGAAAAATTAGCAGGGAGACTCAGAATCATTTCCACTTTTGTAAGGCTGCCTGGGACCCCTGGCTGATCATCATGGCTGCCAAGCCTTTCAACCCTACACACAACCCAGAAAGTACCCCTGCCTCCCTAGACTTCTAAATCTCTAGAAGACTTAGAAAAAATCAGTTGGCCCATGTTCCCAAACCCAGGCAAAACTGCGCTTTAGCAAGTAGCTTTGCAAAGAGCCTAGCACAACATGGATTGGTCAAATTGGATGGATGGATGGATGGATGGATGGATGGATGGATGGGGTAGTGGATGGGTGGGTGTATGGGTTGAAGAGGAGAAATGTTATCCTATTTAAAATACCTCAAGGAAAGGAGATTAGTACCACTGTTAGTAATAATAGTGTAGCAGAGGTAGAGACTCAGCTTTAGCCTAAGCAGGAATTCTGTCACATTGGCTAGAGTGACAGCATAGGACTCCCCCCTAATCCATTTACATGAGAGATGAGGAGCCACAAGGAGAGAATGTCATCCCAAGAGAAGAGCAAATCAGACACCCAAGCTTGACCCTATAACAAAATCTCAGTAGTGGGAGGGGCAAGGATGCTGCATGGTATTGAACGTAAATTTGTGTCCAGGTCAGCCCCTGGTGACAAGAGGACATCCAGGCAGCTGTGCCCAGGACACACAGTGACACCCAACAGAAACCATTTTTCTATGGGTAAGTGAATCAGCTCCAAGGGACCATGTGCTGCTTAGCAAGGCACAGAGGACTTGGCAACAAATATCCTTAAGCTCATTGGGCATTGGATTCAAATCATGACTACCATACTAATTAGTTTTCTGTCCTAGAGAAGTCTTCTAAACATTTTTTTATTGAGATATAATTCGCATACCATAAAATTCACCCTTTTAAAGCACACAGTTCAGTGGTTTGAAGTATGTTCAGAAAGTTGTGCAAACATCATCACCATCTAATTCCAGAATATTCTCATCACCCCAGAAGGAAATGTCATACTCATTAGTAGTCATTTCCCATTGCTCCTCCTGACCCCCTGTCAACTTTAACCTACTTTCAATGGATTTGCCTTCACTGGATATTTCATATAAATGGATTCATTTAACATGGGACCTTTTTTTGCTTCTTTCATTTACCAAGTTTCCAGGATTCATCTTTGTGGTACCATGGGTCACTACTTCACTCTTTTTTATGGCCAAATAATATTCAGTTGTATCAATATACTACATTTTGTTTTCCCATTTACAAGCTAATGGATATTTTGGCTGTTTCCACTTTTTGGCTGATATGAATAATGCTGCTATGAGCATTCACATACTAGCTTTTGTGTGGACATATGTTTTCAGTTCTCTAGGA